ACTCAAACAAACACACACATAAATCCTGGATATTAGTAAAAACAGCAGTAAAATTCCTTTTTGATTTATTTTCAAAGTGTTAAGACAACATTCCTATCTTCGTTCTTTCATCGGAATAAAAAGACTTGATAACAGAGAGTATATAAATAGACGCGATTATCAAAATTGATCACACATAAAAACATTGATGTAAATAATTTCTTTTTACTATTTCTAAGATATTTGCAAATTCCAAAGTTAATGTATGAAATCAGACAGACTCCAATGACCTTGGGAATCTGTATAATTTTCCTATTGACTTAACCTGGGCTTGACCTTGCTGGCCCCATCACCTGACAAAATTTTACACTACTTTTCATTAGGCCCGGTTTATGGATAATCAATTGTTCACCTTTGACCTTTTATTACCATATTTGGAAGTTACCACTGACTTTTGCTGGCACAATGACATCATTTTTTTACTTTTCAATATGGCGACCAGCTATCTGGAATTTTGGAATACAGCTTCGATATTTCTTTATATCATAAGACATGTTTATCGAAAGGTAAGAAAACATTTCTAAATCCTATGAATTGTTAAAGTATTAAACGAATTTATTTCTAACAATTCGATTATCCGAATTTTTCGTCGCTTATTTAGTTTTGTAGCTTCTTCAGTTAGGCCTCTGTACCTCTTCGCGATTTTAACTTTTGGTCACCTGAATCCCATAATTTTTTCTGCTTTAAATCGATTTTTATATTCGTAATTTGAATATATCACAGTAGACTATTCAGAGAAAATATTCGAATGTCGATAAAAGGTTAACTTCAATAGTAAACTGAAAGACGGCGAAGAATAACTTCCGAGACGATTCGTAAGAAAACAAAACTACATCAGACCATTTCTGAGACGTTTCGTTCAAACCTGATATAATTTTTTTTTTTTTTACAGTTCTTTAAATGGAATATTCGTCTTTCTCTGCATGTTTCGTACCATTTCTATAAAGTAGTGCTGAAGTTTCTGTGTTTAAAGTTTGGTTGTTTGTTTCGTTGGTAACT